TAGAGTTATGTTTACGTTGTATCGATACAGTAGATTAAAAATATTAGTGTTAATTCCCCGCCCCCAAAACCAACTTACTAACAGCTCAGAGTAAGTAACAAACAAATCCACTTATTTAGGGAAAAATGTTTAAAAACTGATATATGACTTGATATTTTTTCAAGAACAGTAATATTATACTTCCTTAATTGTCATCATAGTATCTTTAGTAGCATGAAGGCTTCTTGGGGTGCATTGCAGTATTGAATACATCAGAAAAAATACTATCATTTTACTTATATTAATTCATCTAGCTTAAAAGCTAGCTGGCTAGGTTGTAAAACAGTTCTGTGCTTTTAGAGGAGCTCATTAAAAATGAAGACAAAAGTTTCAGTCTAAATGCAAAAGAAATTTTTCTCTAAAATGACTTTTTCTTCCCAAAGCTGTGGTCAGACCAACATTAAAACAGTTCTGGAGGCTTAAAGACGGTTACTAGCCCTTTCTTCAACTTCAAAAGTACTACAACAGGATGGTGTCCTCTGACTTATATGCTTTTGTTTCTTTTAAATGACATTACAGTTTATATTTATATAGTTTCAAGTTATAAATATATTTAAATTGTTATAAAAATAACAAGAACTAAAGTTTTTTCTTGAATAGCCATATAATGTAGCTTTTTTTTTGCAACACTAAAAACATAATTTTATTCTAACTATTGACTTTTAATTGAACTCCAATGATGTCAAAACAAGTTCAGTAGTCCTATAGCACCTTTCCTGTAGTATATTTACTCAATATTTAACAATAATTAAATGTTGCAGACAAAGGGTCTGAAAAAAAGGCCAACATGCAAAAATTTGTGTATAAGTGTTTTAAATTAACTGCACTGAGGAGTACAGCTAATACAAAATTATCATAGAGCATTGTGAGAGCAAATGTACTCTGAAATACAATAAAATGCTTTAGAAAAAATTTTCTGTACTTTGCATTTCTTAAAAAAAGACAGCTCTGAAACCCTAGGCTGTGTTATTGATATGTAGGGCACAACATTAACTATGGTGGCCACATAATCATATCCTTAGAGTGTCCTAAGTTCTCACGATAAGCCTGCCTGCTGGAAATATTTTGCTCAAAGGAAGAGAGACACCTCCAGAAGGGACAATAAAGATGATTAATCTGGCAGACAAACTACTGAGTGGTAGGTTTCAACAGCTTTGCGTGACTCTAAAATTGCCTTGCTGATTTAGAATAGTAACTATCTGCTTAGCACACTTCCTTTACAAATAAAGGATAACAGTTAATACACCAGAAACAGAATCAATATTAAAGTATAGTTTAATATACAGGAAGTCATACAAATCATCATTGCCTGAAGTGCCATACGAGGCCACCACCAGCCACAACTGGATTACATGTTTAATTTCCCTCCTCAACAAAATGATAAACGAATTCAGGACAGTGTGTCAAGATATCCAGGATTTTAAATAGCAAATCTTTTAAAACAAAATGTAGCATGAAACAGAAACAGCAAATTCGATTATACTATTCTGTGGAGAAAACAAACAGATCTCCATTTCCAGAGTTAGCTACCAGCTGGTTTTCATACCACATTACACCCTACTGACACTTAGGGTACTCTTCATGTATGGTCAGGCAGATCTCCTGAAATGAAGATACTAAAACAAATACAAAGCACGGAAACAGATTTGTCTTTTGCTTTGCCCGAGAAGGTTTGTTTCACACATATTGGTGACTGTCATGGCAGCTTTTGGTGCCTTGATTAAGTGTCTCAAAAGCTACACCACTCATTGCTTTGTAATGTTATCACTGTATTCAGAAGATGAATTGCTATACTGTAAATCACTGTCACCAATTCTCAGAGATGAGCATAGGATAAGTGAGTTGCACTGACCCAGTGTATGTGAGACATCCTTCTGTTTTGCTGTTTTCTGTTGCGCCCTTGCATGGCAGTGAATCGGACTGCTTCTTCATCCTGCTAGACAGTAATCAACCCACACTTGCATTTTCTTCACATTAATAGAATTGTAATAAATACATAGACCTACCTTTGTTATTCCCCACTATCATCCTCTATTAGTTTTCATGAAACATTTTTTTCATAAAATGAAAAGGCAAAACAGGTGTTAGATTATTTATGTTTGACAAATTCATATCATTTAAATAATTAAAACTAATTTGTGTTGAGAGCTACAGTTGCATTTTTATTAGAGAAACAAGTACAAATAGTCATCACTACAGAGCTGTTTATTCAATAATGAGATTAAATGAAATGGATTTTGTAGTCTCAGTTCTTTCTGATTAATGTGGCAATCGGAAATCTAACTTCTGTGCCCTAACAATGTGGAAACAGCTGCTAACCCACTATAATTACGTAAAACTTCTTTCTTTAAAGCTACACATTTTAAATTATCCCTAAAAAAATATTGTAAGCAAAATAGCAAATACTTTCAGTTTAAACAATATTTGCATTACAAACTTGAAATTATACTACTTTTTAATT